AAATAATGTCACATATGCCTCCGCCGGCACGGCGGCATCACCGGTGGAGGAGGAGAGGATACGACTGATGATTGGGAAAAAGGTATGTTCGACAAAATTATTGTTGAGGGTGATGGAAAAGCAGCTACCGTGTTAGCTGGAAGAGAGGTTAAGGAGGCTCAGAGTTTTGGTGCACTCGATGACGGCGGCTGAGGATGCAGTCATGGCGGAGGAGGAAGAGGTCCAGGGTCGAGAAACGATGTTTGAATCAGCGAACAAAAGAGGATTCGACAGGAAAAGGCGATGAAGAAACTTATAGAGGCGTTTAACTGTTGAAAAAAAGGTTGCAGGTCTGTTTTCTTAACAAAATCTGTAGCAGGGTGCAAAGTGCCAAACAATATGTAATTGGAGGGTGCAAAGTGCTATTTTTTCAATTTGAGGGTGCAAAGTGCCAAAAGTATATAATTCAAGGGTGCAAAGTGCCAATTACCCTTTATTTATGTTTAGGAGCGAGATTTGCGGTGTGATTGAGAACGTGATATTAAAGCAGATATTATGCATATCTATATTCAACCCTAAGATACGTTATAATAAGGTAAGGGTATAATTGGGATACTTAATAAAGGAAACATTCATCTATATGATAAAATTACCCCCAACCCTTTATACACAATTCTTAATTGTAACTCCAATTTAATCAATTTCAACCACAAAAATCCAATTTTGACTTCTTTCATAAAAAAAAATTGCCGCTGGATTTTGGCGTTGACTTTTCGAAATTTTTTTTCTTTTCTTCTTTGTTTTTTCCGTTGCCCGATTCCAGCATTAACTTTTTTTTAATCTGTTTTTTCCGCCGCTGGATTCCGGCATTGACTTTTGTTAGTGTTTTTTTTTTTTTTTTTTTACGTCCGCCGCTAAATGTTGACTGTAATTGTGTTGTCACTGACAGTAAATTAACGTAATTATACTGCCAATGACAGTACAATTACGTAATTGTACTCCCGTTGACAATACATTTATGTATGCCGTTGACAGTAGATTAACGTATTATTATATTTTTTTTTTGTTATTTTTTTTTTTTTTTGATTTTGTTTGATTTTTTGACAAGTCAACGTAATTATATTACTGCCGTCGACAGTAAAATAACTGTAAACACAATAATATTACTGTCAACCACATCATTATTATTATTTTTTTGGGTTTTTTGTTTTGTTTGAGTTATCCGCGGAGTAACGTAATAATATTTCTGCCTATTATTGTAATATTAGTGTAAACACAATAATGTTACTGTTGTTATAGTAATATTGTTGTCAACCACATCAATATAATATTATTATTTTGTTTAGGTTTTTTTTGTTTGTTTGAGTTATTCACGGAGTAACGTGATAATATTACTTTCTCTTATTAAAAAATTACTGTGGTTGACGGTAATATTACTGTTTTTATAGTAATATTATTGTTTTTATAGTAATATTACTGTCACTCACATTAATATTAATTCTTTTGGCTTTTTATTATTTTTACATTTGTTGAACGGTCAACATAGTAATATTGCTCTATTACACAATAATAACGAGTTTTGTTGTGTTAATATTGTTGTGCTGGAGATTAATATAGCAATATTATTGTGTTAAACTCTAGTATAGTTAATTTTACTGTGTTTAACAGTAATATAGTTAATATTACTGTCAATCACACAAATATTGCTGTTTAAACGGGAAAAAAATGATGTAACAGAAAGAAAGAAAGAAAAAATAACGAAAAAGTCAACGCTGAAAACCGGTGGCGGACAAATCAGGAAACAAAAAATCAACGCCGGAAACCGGAGGAAAAATCAGGAAGAAAAAAAAATCAACATCGGAGACCGGCGGTTGACCGGCAATCAACGGCTGTGACGAACGAAATTGTCCATAAAAATGTAATTTCGGTCAAAATTGAATAATTTGTGAAATTTTGGGTCAAATTAAGGATTAATTAAATTAAATGATGAAATTAGAGCATATTAAAGTATGAGGGGCTATTTTAGTCTCTTACAAAAATTTGGACCATGTGTGGACTTTTTTGTAAAGGAGTTTATTGTCTTGAACTCTTTATGAATAAGTACCCATTGAAAGAGCTTATTTGTAAAGACCCCATAATATTATTCAACATAATAAGTAATATAATTGTTAGAGTTGATATATAAGAATGCATCGGAAATAAACTATATAATCGAACTTTTATATTTTGGGGTTTTTGTGCATAAGTCCGCAATCAAGCATCTTTATTATTGTAGGTTTATGAGCTATATCTTTTTCACCAATAAGTCCATCCCTTTAATATCTTATATATAAAAGAAAGAAACGCTGGGAAACCTAAAAAACTCTAATGGTATTTATTTAATTATTTATTTTTAATATTTTTTTTCTACTAATTTTCAACAATTATCAATCTCCTATTTTTCTTCAATATATCTCAAATGTTAAGAGATAAAGATAGAAATTTGATTTGTTAAACTTAAATCTAAATCTATATACTTGGATTATAAATCTTAATACGTAAAATTTAGACAAACTAATGTTATATAAAATATGAATAGTACTACATTATTAAATTTTACTATGTTCGTGTACTATATTTTCTTATTATATATTAATTGATTTTATTTTTTTTACTCTTGAAATAATATTCCGTGCATCGTACGGGAAAAAAATGCTAGTTTATTATAAATAAAGGAAACATTCATGTATATGACAATATTACCACCAACCCTTTATAATCAATTCTCAATTATAACCCCAATTAAATCAATTTTGTCCATAAAAATCCAATTTTGACGACAAAATCCAATTTTGACTTTTGTTTTTCAAAACCTTTTTTTATTTAATTTTTGTTGCCGCTGGATTCCGGCGTTAACCCTTCGATTTTTTTTTTACGGTCGTTGACCTTTTTTTTTTCTGGTCTTTTTTTTTTTTCCGCCGCCGGATTCCGACGTTGACCGCCGGTCTCCGGCGTTGACTTTTTTTAGTGTTTTTTTAGTTTTTTTTCTTTTTTACGTTCGCCGCTAAACGTTGACTGTAATTGTGCTGTTACTGACAGTAAATTAACGTAATTATACTGTTAATGACAGTTAATTAACATAATTGTACTGCCGTTTGACAATACATTTATGTAATTGTTCTGCCGTTGACAGTAAATTAATGTAATATTATTATTTTTTATTTTTTGTTATTTACTTTTATTTTGTTTGATTTGTTGACAAGTCAACATAATTATATTATTGTCGTTGACAGTAAAAAAACTGTAAACACAATAATATTACTGTCAACAACATCATTATTATTTTTTTTTTTTTGAGTTTTTTGATTTGTTTAAGTTATTTACGGAGCAACATAATAATATTACTTTCTATTATTGTAATATTATTGTAAACACAATAATATTACTGTGGTTGACGGTAATATTGCTGTCAACCACATCAATATTATTATTTTGTTTGGATTTCTTTGTTTGTTTGAGTTAGTCACGGAGTAACATAATAATATTACTGTCTATTAATGTAATATTACTGTGGTTGACGGTAATATTACTGTTGTTATAGTAATATTACTGTCACTCACAGTAATATTAATTCTTTTAGCTTTGCTTTTTATTATGTTTACATTGTTGGCTTTGTTTTTTATTACTCTATTACACAATAATAATGAGTTTTGTTGTGTTAATATTATTGTGCTAGAGATCAATATAGCAATATTACTGTGTTAAACTGTAGTATAGTTAATTTTACTGTGTTTAACACTAATATAGTTAATATTATTGTCAATCACAACAATATTGTTGTTTAAACGAAAAAAAAAATGTTACAGAAAAAAAATCGAAAAAGTAAACGCCGGAAACCGCTGAAAAAAGAAAAAAAAAATCGAAAAGTCAACACCGGAATCTAGCGGTAAAAATTATTTTTTGAAAAAAACAAGTTTTGAATCAAAATTGAATAATTTGTGAAATTTGGGGTCAAATTGAGGTTAAATTAAATTAAGGATGAAATTGGAGTTTAGTAAAGTGTGAGGGGCTATTTTAGTCGTTTACAAAAATCTGGACCATGTATGAATTTATTTGTAAAGGAGTTTTTTGTCTGGATCTCTTTATGAATAAGTACCCATTTATTTGTAAAGACCCCTTATATTTTTTCATATGAATGCGTGGGTGATGTTACTAGTTTTTATGAACAACTCACCACTTTTCTTTATATTGTTCAATTTGGCGTGGGAAAATGTGTATCAAGGTAGTCCGGATTTTTTTCTCTTTTTTGGTGGCAATCTCACAAATTAATTAAGGGAAGACTAAATCTAATTTTTCACAAATGAATTACTAAAAGACTATTATACCCTTACTAAATTATGAAGCCCACAATACAAAACTCCACAACTTCCTTTGTGCAAGACCACACCAACAAAACTCACTTTATCTTCTTCACAAACCAATTTCACATAAATTCTTCAAAAAAAAAAAATTCTTCATCTTCTAAAAATCTTCAACACCCAAAAACCTCAAATCTTAGTAAAACATGCAAATGATACCATTATGGAGTCACAAGACATTAATAATGGAGATTCTATAGAAAAGGTAGAAAACAAACTATGAATGAATGCATTTTTATAGCAAGCTAAGGTGTTCAAATTTTTAAGTTTTCAAAAAGAAAAAAATTCAAGCAGTAAAAATTCTACTCACAGATGCCGATTTTTGTGGCAAAATTCGACATCTAGATGTCGTTTTTTCGCCAAAAAATCAACATCTAGATTTCAACACGGACAAGTCGAATTTTCTTCTTTTTCTTCTTGTTCTTCATCTTCTTTTTTTTCTTCTTTTTGTTGTTCTTCTTCCTCTTCCTCATCTTCCTCTCTTCGTACCCTTCTTCTCCTCCTCCTCCTCCTCATGTTTCTCTCTTCATCTTCTTCCTCTTCATGCTCTTCTTCTTCTCCTCCTCCTCCTCCTCCTCCTTCTCCTTCTTCCTCCTTCCACCTCCATCTTCTTCTTCTCTTTCTCTTCAAGCACTCGCGGTTTCACGAATGTTGAGTGACATTGGTATGGTGACGGCAGTCAAGCGGTTGTGGTGCACTTCATCGGAGGCGGCGCACTGTGGCCCTTCGGCGGCAGTTCTTCTCGCCTTGTGTTCTTCTCTTCTCCTGCTAGAGCATTCCCCCTCTCGTTTTTCAATCTCTCTCTCTCTCTCTCTCTCTCTCTCTCTCTCTCTCTCTCTCTCTCTCTCTCTCTCTCTCTCTCTCTTGTCTTGCAATAGTAGTGATTAGGTCTAACTTGAATGAATAAAATCAAAATCAATATTGGGGTTATATTCGTAATTTTTCAATCTTGCTCTTAGTAAATTTACTTATATTATGACCTTCCACCAAGTAAGGTCTCGCCCTTTGAAGATTTGGGATTGCAAATATTCGTTGCCTTGTCTTTTTGTCCGAATCTTGTTGTAATTGACGCTGCACGTTCAAATCGAATAATATTGAATCTTCAATTATTTCTCATGATACATAAAGGTGCACGTGATACATGTAGTATATATATATATATATATATACACACACACACACACACACCCAATTTCTATAAAGTATTTATTAGTAGTTGTCAAGGAAAGAGATGGATGAATTAGCCAGCTAGAAGAGCATCCAGTTTGTTGTTTGCTGAGGCTGATAAAAACTTCATGCAGATTGGAGCTTGTACCCCTGCCAATGCAAATACAGCAGCCGGAATTCCCCATAGAGAATCACCACATATGAGCCCTGATGCTACTGCTGGTCCAAAATCCTTAGCACTTTTTTTGTTCTTCCTCTGCCATACGAACAGAATCAAACTTCCAATGCACATGTCAATAGCAAAATATGCTCCTAAATAGAATGGAATTGCCATGCACATGGGGCTGGGTATGAATCTGTATATTCTATACTTGGTTTCATACTTCTTCATTACCTCCGTAACTAGATTCATAACCACGGAAGCGAAGAAAAATATGATAACAAGTTTCAAGCAATTCTTGGGGAGTGAAGAGAAACCTTCAACACCCAAGAGAGCAATCCCACGGTACATCAACGCGTAAGGTGCAGGGTAAGAGCCTTCAGGGTCTCCCACACTGTAAGCCTTGAAGAAAACCCAAAAGACCAAAGGTGACAAAACACAACCTATAGCTGTACCAAAGACTTGGCTGAAAAACATGGAACGAGCCGATGACAGTGTCAAATATCCCGTCTTGAAGTCTTGCATCAAATCAGAAGCTGTTGAAACAATGCTCATCATCACACCACAAGATGCAAGTCCAGCAAGTACACCCCCTTGATCTAAACCGACCCACGAGCTGAAAACGAGGATTGCTATTTTACCATAGTTTGATGCCAAAGACCAGTCCGTTAGGCCGCATCCATAGGCATTGCAAAAAGCTAGAATTGGAGCAATTGCATATGCTACTAAGACTTGGTACCATTTTAGCTGATGAAATATCTGTGGGATTACAGCAATAGATATCCCTGCCAACACAACATAACCAGCTATAGCTACTGTATTTGGAATTTGGTCTTTTAAGAAATACTCCATTCGCTTCTTCTCATCATAGTTTCCTATTTCTGTGCTCTCATCTATCAATTCCTTCTGTGACTTTTGTTGCATAAAGCTCCTTAATGTCACTATAACCATGTACACAACATGAAATAGACCATCACCAAGCATCATTGCAATAGCAAGAAAAACCTGTCAACTCCATAGTAAAAGGAAATTTGTCAAGCCATTGATTAATTAAGAATCCATTCTTAATTAAATAACTTCAAATATATTTGTTTGTATGTATGTTATAATCGGTTAAGTTACCCTGTATCCTTGGATTCCGTGAAGACTGCTTGCAGGTAGTTTTGCGCTATACCAATCGCCTTTCTTGGACTCGATCACAGGCCACAGAACACCCCATGATAATATGGCCCCAATAAGTAGGGAGACATTTACCATGTATGGACATATCATCCCCACCCCAACATATGTAGCTGAGAAATCAAAATAGAACCTGTGTGTGACATGAAAAAAAAAACAACTGTCAAGTTTTGTAATAATATGATGCCATTCACACCAGATAGATTCTCAGAAATCTCAAAGTCACATTGTCGGGAGATTTATAAAGTGAATTATCAAATTCTCATTGTAAGGAAATATGGTGAAGGGAAAACAAATTCTAGTTGTGAAAAAAAATGATGTCCCAACTCCCAAGTTTCCACTAAATATTTTATATCTTTTATTTTTTAAGATATAATTAGCATAAATTGTTACCAAGAAACTAAAGATTTTTTTTTTTAATTTAACCTTTGCTTGTAGGCTGCGAGGCCGAATGTAGGGAAGCTGCTAAAACCACAACCATCAGCAGCACTGAAGAACCACTGGAAGCACGCCCATAAGAAACTACCAACAAAGGACTTGAAAAGTACCCAAACTTGTTTCCTTCATCCAAACAAGGGTAATAATATAATTAAAACCCACGTAAAATTAATATATATATATATATATATATGCGTCACTGATTAATAAACATGGAGTACATACTTAGCTAGCCTAGCTCCTTTAGGAGTATGAAAGCTGTTGATAAGGTATGCTGTTGCAGTCCCACTTGGATATGTCAATTTGTACCTCAATATCATCACCTAAAAATGATTAGAGACGACTAGTTAGTATTTTTAGAAGAAATAAATAAATATAGTAGAAAGATGATGAAATTTGATGTTAATACCTTCCGTAGGGGCACTATTGAGAATAGACCAACAAAGCTAACGGTAAAAAGAAAGGTCATCATCCATCCAATAGATAGTTGCTTAACATTTATAGGGGTGTTTCCTGTTTCAGCCTGAGCTGCCGTTATTGGACTCATTCCTAGAAGGTAACTAGCTGTCCCACCTAAAAATACATACACCCAAAATTAAACAACATCATCACTATAAAAATATTGTATGACCATGTATGAATATATGAATATTCATCGAATGGAACATACTGCTAAAAGCAATGCCAGAAGAGGCAACAACACAAGTCTGAATGACGGTATTCTCTTGTCTGGTAAAAGGTTGCTTCAAATAACCACATTTTTGGATCAAAACTGTATAACCCTTAACCATGGCGAATCCTAGAAGCCCCGCAGCGACATTTAAAGAGGGGATAACACCGGTTGAGAGATTGAGTTTACAAACAATCACATTAAACACAGCGCTCAATAGAACGCTAGTCACCATTGCTCTAATGGTTATCTGGTTCTGCCAAGAAGGTACTGCCGTCTCCTCAAACGCCTTCTCCAATGATGCCACATCCTCATCATCCTCGTGCTTCTCTTCTTTCCTCATTCTTCTGTATATATATTTTTTATATATACAGATATATGCTCTTCCCCTGACTCACTCTCTCGTTTGATTTATATATATGTGTGTGTATGTATATATATATGAAGAGAAATGAGAAGGATCCCAGAATCCTGATAAGAGTGGAGTTATTTCCCAAAGAAGGAACAAGCTATGTATAACAAAGAGTTCTGAATCATCTTTAGTGTGTGTGTGTGTGTGTGTGTGTTGAGAGAGAGAGAAGAGTGAACAACGTGGAGAGAGAAGTTGAGGTGAGAGAGAGAAATTGAGGTTAGAGAGAGAGACATACTTGCCCCGATGCATGAGGAATAAGGGGGTTACCATTCAACTTGCCCCGAAAATTCATACTCTCTAACCAATTCATTCTTGTTCTTTCTTTTTTTTAGTAACTAGTAGTAATATATTGACCAGTTTGACATTTTAATGCTAGACTACAAATATTCCTAATTCTTCATTAACAGATTCTTGATCAATAATTGAACTCAAAATGTTAGATTCGTTTTTGTTCATTTCTACTATATATTTCATAGAATAGAATAACTGCATTACTAATATTAGCTATCAACTTAATTAGAATTTGACAACTATATAACCCACACAGTATAATCAATTATTACGAAACTAGAAGTTTGAAAATACAGTTGTCAAACTTTTAAAGGTTTAAAAATCAATTGTGTATTTTTTGGGTACACAATTTATGCGCATATATTTGTTTTATTTAAATTTTTATTTCTTATAAAATATTTTGATATTTGTATTTCTATAATGTATCCTTTTATGTTGTAAATGTTAATTCTATTTCCTTTATATTTTTTATTTTTATTCCAAATGATTAATGAGTTATATATACATCATTAAATGCTTAAAAATGATGGTTAATGAAGAATATATATTATTTAAGTGCACATTTATATTATTAACACTTTAACGTTAAATAAATCATTAAATAATATAAAATGCAAAAATCCGATCGAACCATAATTGAACCGGTCCAACCATGACTCAATTACTTGTCCGGTTGAATGTCTGGTTGGATTTTCAAAACATTGGTAATTGTAGTGCAATACAAATACTTCCAAACTTAAGCTCAAATTAATATTACGAAACGGCCTTAAACATATATAATCGAATAGGCATTATTTGATGGACCTCCTCATTTTGAAAATGTTTTTAACTAACCACCAAGGATATTACATCATAGTCCTCCTTTTTATCTTAATTTGGGATATCCCCTCGCCATTTTGAAATACCTAAAATTCACGTTTAATATCAGTTTTAAAATAACACGTTGTTCGCTTGCCTTTCATGATAGCTATAATTCCGTTTCTCTCTTCCCCTCTCACTCTTAGATTCAAAGTTCCGCTCTCATAGGTTTCCAACTGGTGATGTTGCTTCATGGAGTCATAACTTTCTCTCCAGTTGTCGGAATTTGATGGTTTAACTACCGTTGGATTCCCCTCGTTGAAATCTTTTTTTGTGTGGTAATTTCATACTGTTTGGAGCTCTGGATATGCTTCTAAACCGTTTTATAGTGGGGCGCATATTTCGACGTCAGTGGGTCTTGTCGGAGGGATAATTTGTGTTCCGACAGTCAAAATTTGACGGGCTGCCCACTGTTTGATTCATCTCGTCGAGATCTACATTTCGATGGTAATTTTATTCAATTTTTTATTGTCAGGTTTTTTTCTCTATTTTTTTTCATTGCGAGTGCGGAACCCTTGGATGGTTGGCGGCGACTAAGGTTTCGGTAGGAGGCACTTGGAGTGAGGAGTCATTGACGGTTTAATCTAAATTTTATAGCATTTCGCAGCTATGGTCTCTCTCTCTCTCTCTCTCTCTCTCTCTCTCTCTCTCTCTCTCTCTCTCTCTCTCTCTCTCTCTCTCTCTCTCTCTCTCTCTCTCTCTCTCCCCCCCAATGTTTGTCGATTTTTGAGTGTTTTAATGTTTCTTCAATTTTTGTTAATTTGCATTAATTTTTTTTTTTGGTTTTGATTTTGCAATTGCAGCTTAATGGAAGCCATTAATCCTCTTCTTGAAAGTTTCAAAAAAAAATGGTTGAAATTGTAGACGATTTTGACATCTGCTTCAAGTTACAGTGTTCTACAGACTGTATACACTACACATTAATAATATCATATAGTGACATGCAACAACATATGCATGTATTTGTGTTTTGGGGTTATTTTGTAGATCCCCTCATTTCCAATTATATAGAACTAACTACCAAGTGGATTACACTCTAGGGGAAACCCCCCTCATTTCGAAAATATTTTGATATACCCCCCTGGGCCACCCTGAAGTTCCTATAATACCCTTCTAAAATCAGTTTTAAACCCTAACCACTCACGGTCTCTCTCTTCTTCTCCCACATTCAAAATCCCGCCTCCACAAACCTCCCACCGGCGAAATTGCTTCTCGGAGCCATAACTCTCTCTTCGGTGGTCGGAATTCGATGGTTTAACTACCGTTGGATTCCTCTCGTCGAGCTCTTTCTTTTGGTAGTAATTTCATTCAGTTTCGAGCGCTGATCTGTTTCTCCAATTTTTTTCATTCGAGGATGGTGGTCTTGCCGGAGCTTTATTTTGTGTTCCACCCGTCGAAATTTGGCGGGCCACCCACCGTTGGATTCCTCTCGTCGGGATCTATATTTTGATGGTAATTTCGTTAATTTTTTTGTTTTCAGATTTATTTCTATATTTTTTTGTATTTGTGGGCGCGCGGAACCGTGGATGGTTATTAGCGGCGTCTAGGGTTTTGGTAGGAGGCGAGGGGGGTGAGGAGTCACTGTCTGTTTGATTTAAAATCTGTAGCATTTCCCAACAATAACCTCTCTCTCTATCTCTCGATCTCTTAGTATTTGTTGATTTTTGAGTGTTTTGATGTTTTTCTTCAAATTTAGTTGATTTGCACTAAAGTAATTTCTTTTTGTTTTGATTTTGCAATTGCAGCTTAATGAAGGCCATTGATCCTTTCCTTGAAGGTGCCAATTTTTTTTTTAAGTTACATCTGATTTGTTCAACAGACTGTATACATTACTGTACATTACTATACATTACTATAGTAACATGTAGTTACATATGCGTATATTTGTGTAATTTCGATTTGTATTTAATTGGTTCTGATGTGATTTATAATAAAAATATTGAAATTTGTAAATTTTTGTTGGGGTTTTGTGAATTTATTTTGTATAAGCCAGTATTCGTGTGTGTATACAATCAGTGGCGGATCCACCCATGGTCTAGGGTGTGCAGTTGCACACCCTTGAGTTTGGAGAAATACTACTGTTATAGATAATTTGACAAAAAAGTCTGTTGGTTGAGTTGGTAAATGTATTCTACTTCCACTAATAGGTCGCGTGTTCGACTCCCCACTCTCTCAAAAAATCTAACTTCTTTTTCAAATCTCAACATTTTCACATTTTTTCTCTATCTGACTTTTTTTTTCAAATCTTAACATTTTCACATTTTTTCTCTTTAAATGTTTCCACAATTCACCCAACCTCTTTTTCAAATCCTAACATTTTCACATTTTTTCTCTTTAAATATTTCCACAATTCACCCAAAATTTGTAAATTGTAAATTTTTGGTCCACTATCCGCCACTGTATACAATTGATCGACTAAAAATATAGGGAAAAAAAAACGAACATAACTATGAATTACTATAGGTACTATAGTTACATGTAGTTATTTTCAGTACTAGAAACATATTGTTTTGAAAATAAAAAAAAAAATTAATTTTTTTTAATTTAAAAAAAAATTAAAAAACTAAAAAAATTAATATATATTTAACAAACAGGTTCATAAAAAAAAAAAAAGAGAACTAATAATAAATAAATCAGCGAAAATGATAAATGCAGGATCATAAATGTTGAATGCAGTTTGGCCGAAAATTGCATATAAGGGTAGTATAGTACTTTTGCTTCTCCAGGGGGTATGTCAAAGAATGATTTGGGCTTGGGTAGGGGTGGTAAACGAGCCGAGCCGGCTCGAAAAAAGCTCGAACTCGAGCTCGGGTTTTTCGAGCTCGAGCTCGAGCTTCGGACGAGCTCGAGCTCGAGCCCAAAAGTAGTATAGTACTTTTGCTTCTCGCGAGCTGCCTTATATTTTTTTTTTTTACCTATATATATATAGTTCTAGTTTACTACAGTTACACGTAGTTATTTTCAGTACAATAAACATATGGAGTTTAAAAAAGTTTAAAATTAATACAAAAATATTAAAAAATGAAAAACAAGGTTCAGAAAAAGAATATATATATATATATATATATATATATATATATATATATATATATATATATATATATATATATATATATATATATATATATATATATATATATATATATATATATATAT